GTGTGTGTGTGTGTGTGTGTGTGTGTGTGTGTGTGTGTGTGTGTGTGTGTGTGTGTGTGTGTGTGTGTGTGTGTGTGTGTGTGTGTGTGTTGTCCACTCTGGATGTCAGCCAATCAGCAATCAGATGAACAGGAAGAGACGGCATCCTGGAGAGAGAACCGTCCAACACGTAGGGAGACGATGCTCCACACATGAGAACACCTTGTCTTCTTGTTTTTCTTCAGCTCCGACACTTTGAACCAAGACAACATCCTGACGGGGGTTGTCATGGAAACACTGACAATGTTAACTGTGGTATTTGATATATTTTTTACTGGCAGCAAAGAGTCAGTAGGAGACACGTGTACTGAGAAACACCAAAGATCTGGATCCGTTGACCCGAGGGATCTGGTTTGTGATCTCAATAAACAGTGAACGTGTGAATCTGAAGAGTTTCTGTTTCTAGTTCGACCAATAAGCTTTGAGCAGCTTCGGTCGCCCGCAGGTAAACGGTGTGGAGAGAAAGAAGATTTTTGATCAAAAGCATCGACTTTTTAATTCATCTTCATTTACCTGTTGATGGTGTTTCGACTAAATGTCGTTCGGACTTTTGTTCTTTGCAAATCAACTGATATTTCACCTGAACTTCAGGAAGCAGCTGATCACCCGTAAGGAAGAGGAAGTTAACGCTGACTTAACGTCATGTTTTCTTCTCTCTCTGGTCACCAGACGTGGGTCTAACGTGTCTCTGGTGTTGGACATGTCGGCTCTCGGCTCTGTGGAACCCCTCAGTGTCGCTGTCGTAACCCCCAGAGAGTCGGCGGCGAGGGAGTACCTGATGTCCGCCAGCCGGCCGCTGACGAGGCCGCAGCTCCGAGACCTCATCAACAACACGGATAAGCTGCACACAGAGTTCACTGTACGTAAACAAACGCAGTCAGTTTGGCCACGAGGACGAAACAAACTGAAAAGTTTCTCAAGAAGTTTTATCGGCCGTCGTGTCGTTAAGTCAGATTTATGTCTGTTGTTATTTAATTAATTACATAAATACATAATTAACTGATTGGTTCAGGAACATTTATATTTATATATTCAGTTGAATATTAATAAATGGACTCATTGTAGAATAGTTTGTCTTTTTTTTAATCATGTAATAAAAATATTTTTTCTTCCATTTCAGGAAATTCCCATGAACTTCACGGATCCTAAGGAGCTGGATGTTCCAAACCACGGCACCAAGAGCAGATACAAGACGATACTACCCAGTGAGACACAAACAGATGTTTCCAAATATTAAAATCCACTCACAATTATTTAAAGAATGAATTTCTGTCGTGTGGAGTGATGTCCACGAACTTGATTTATAAATTGAATTATACAAAGTAAAGTCATTGTTTCATGGAGAAAAGACGACAGAGAGAAAAACGTTGTTTTACTTTGATGCTGAAAAGCTTCGCTCCTCAGAAACCTCTCGTCTCATTTCCTGTTGAACCAGGAAGCTGTTTTAGTTTGAGGGAAGGATTCAAGGTCAAAGGTCAACAACGCTGAAGACGACTAATGTGGCTCCTCCCCCAACACACACACACATTCAGGGCACAGTTTGTTCTCACAGCGACCTCCTGTTGAAGACTTTACGTAACCGTCACCGACACAATGTTAGTTCTTCATGTTTTGGAAAGGGGGCGGGGTCAGCAATAAAACAGCGGCAGGGGTGAGTGGGTGTGGTTCCTTCCTTCCTTCCGGCCAATCAAGGGTAAGGAATGCTCACCTAGAGCGGCCGTCAGTCAAACTCTGTCCTCCGTTCCAGGAGCTTTGTTTTCTTGTCTCAAGGTGCTCGGGGATCCGTCCTCATAGACCGAGATCAGAACCTTCAGACTCTTAGTTCAGTCTGAACTTCAGCTGCGAGCGGTTCCTCAGACCAGATGTTCTGGATCAAACTGAACCTGGTTCTGTTGGTTCACAGTGAAAACACTTTGTTGGACTTTTGGTCCAATCACAGGAAGTTGAGGTCAAAGGTCGACGACCTTTCACACCTGATATTTTAGTTCAGACTAAACTGGAAAGAGTCTGAACTAATCTAATCTTCCCTCCCCCATTCAAATCAATGTCATATATAAATCTCCCGTCCATGTCTCCTTTCCTCCCTCTCATGTGTCCTCACCTCCTCTCCTTGCTGTGTTTCCTAGATCCTCATTCCAGGGTGATCCTGAAGACCAAGAGCTGCAACGACCTGCTGAGCTCCTACATTAACGCCAACTACATACGTGTGGGTATTCACAACGTGCAGTTTTCTTTACATGAATATCGTCCCTTGATTCAGGAGAGTGTTTGTTAAATCTCACCAGAGAACCATCAAACTGACACCGTCACCTCACACATCTGGAATGTCGACACGTTTTTTTTTCTTTTGGTTTCCTCGTCAACACAATGGCAGTGAAAGTACAGCGCAGTAAGAGTCTGTAGTGTTGCTCTCAGACTCGGGTACAATGGACTCTCTTCCTGTCAGGAAGCTCCTCTGAAACTGTTTAAACTGTCAGATCACAGGGGAGAACTCAGGCTGTTTAAATACTTCATCCGACCGAGCGAACACTGTTCAGCACAGGCAGAAGAGTTATCACGTGACGATGGAGCCGATTCTCTGCAGTTACCTTAATGAATACACTGAATATAAACAGATCTCAACCGTCCCTGCATCTGAAAACTCCAAACCAAAGGTCTCGTTGGTATAAAGTGAGTGAGCAGAGTTACACGTTAGGATCTTCACGCTTCACGTCTTGTCTCGCAAACGTTCACTTTTAGAAAAGAGAACCTCTGAGATGTAGAGGGACAGGTGTTGTTGTTACCACGCTGTTGACGCTGCAGTGTGATTGGCTCCCCCCGCAGGGTTACCTAGGTGATGAGAAGGCGTACATCGCCACTCAGGGTCCCATGGTGAACACAGTGAACGACTTCTGGCAGATGGCGTGGCAGGAGGAGTCGCCGGTCATCGTGATGATCACCAAACTGAAGGAGAAGAACGAGGTAATCGAAGAAAAGTTCCACTTCAGAATCGATGCGACTCGAGGGATCGGGTGATTCTGGAAACTTTACTTCAAAGTTATCAGGATTTTTCCGTCAATGTTCCACAGTTTGGTTCCAACTTGAATTAAAAGGAACGTGCTGCTTTGTGTTCCTCGTTGCAGAAGTGTGTTCTCTACTGGCCGGAGAGGAGGGGGATCTACGGGAAGGTGGAGGTGTTGGTGAACAGCGTCAGAGAGTGTGAACACTACACCACTCGCAGCCTCACACTCAAGGTCACTTCAAACACAACTTTCCATTTCTCCTGTGCAGATAAAGTCTTTTAATTAACACGTCTTGAACGTGTGTGTTTGTACAGTGTGGGAATCAAACTCGCGTGCTGCAGCATTACTGGTACACATCGTGGCCCGACCACAAAACCCCTGATTCAGCAATGCCGCTGCTGCAGTTGATGTCCGATGTAGAGACGGAGCGACGGGCAGCCGCCGCCATGGGACCAGTTATCGTCCATTGCAGGTATCGTAGCGAGCGGAACCTGAGAAACTGTCTCTTTAAAATATAAACACTTCATCGTCTGTCTCGTCCTCTCTGCAGCGCTGGGATCGGCCGGACAGGTTGTTTCATCGCTACGACGATCGGCTGTCGACAGCTTCAGCTGGAGGGAGCGGTGGACGTGCTGAGCATCACCTGCCAGCTCCGAGCCGACAGGTGACCCCCCCCCCCCCCCCCCCCCCCCCCCCCCCCCCCCCCCTCTCTGTCATGTCTCTTCTGGACCACGATGTTCTAGTTATTGATTCTATGATCTAGATTCTAGAACAGTCATTAGACACAACGTGGTGTTGTTGTATTAATGAGTCTAATCTGTGTCTGCAGAGGTGGGATGATCCAGACAGGCGAGCAGTACGAGTTCGTCCATCACGCGCTGATCCTGTACGAGGCCCGCCTCTCCGCTGAAACGGGCCAATGAGATTTCAGCACCACGCAGCAGGTTTTTATCAGGTATGATCTGAGGTTTGGGATTTCTCTGAGAACGAGGGACTCTGGAAGACGCTTTTGACTTTGATGGACAACGGATGTTGTGGGCGGAGCCTATTCGCGGAGAGACGAAAGGTGTTCATGTGTTGTCGGTGAGCGGCTCCTCAGAGGAACTCGAGAACCTCGAGAACTTCGTCCACTTCACTTCTCTGACTGAGATTGTTTCATTTTTAACTAATCGACCTCTTTTCTGTCGCGGAGACTCGACGGCACGTTGTGGACTGTGTTCCTGTGTCGTGAAGGAGTTCACGGTTAGTTTTTTTAAAGTGTTGGGATGTGACAGGCGATTTGAAAATGACTGTTAGCTGTTTGCACCTTTTGGTTAAGTTGCTGTTCCACTGTTGAACCAACGCCTCCAGCCTGTCAGTGACTTCAGCCTTATGTTACCCTGGAATCTGGACGCATCGCATTCCCGACTATTACAGGACAAATCTTTTAAACCAGGTGTTTCATGGGACTTTTTCAGGTAGAATACCAAAAAGAAAACGTGCCCGATTCCAATCCTTCTCAAACTGCGTTGGTAAAACCGAAACACAAAAGTCAGATGAAGCGATAAATTATTTTAACTTGAGATGTCTGAACATCAGAAGTTAACAAGCTGGTGAAAAGAAATCAAATGCATTCATTATTTATATTTATATATTAATACTACTATATGATATGTTAGCAGCTGTGCTAATATGTTCAACCAGACTCCGGTCATTATATGAGCCGATACCTTGATCAGCCAATTAACAAACTGAAATCAGTGAAAAATAAACTTTTTAATTTCTGTTTCCAGCGTCACCAATGGAACTACCTCCATCCACACAACTTACGCTAAAAGCTAACAAACCAATGCAATGCTAAACAAGGTCCTGCTAAGCTAGCTCCTGTAGTATAACGATCTGATGGAGGCTTTGGTAGTTTGACGTTAATCCATGTGCTGCTTTGCCAATAAATGGATGCTAACCTGTACGCTTATGAGAATAGTAGCATGTCATGCGAATGCATTATTTTGCTAAACCACTCATTTCTAGTATTCTGCTGCTAAACCTGCTTTAAAAAGAGAGAAGTTTATTATTTCTGCACGGTTCATAAAGGGTTTGACAGCAGCACTGACACGATCTCCTCCATCGTTTGAAAAGTTCAAGTTCAAACATCGAATACGTTTACATAAAATATGAAGCTCAAAAGTTTCACCAGTCAGAAAACATTGAATCCATGATTTCAATGAACAATGTCGAGTTATCTTAGTTTATTTAAGTCAAGTTTTCGGTGAAGGGCCAAATAAAGTTTGCTGAGTCGTTCCCAGAAGAATCATGAAGAAAACTTGCTGCTGGTCTCAGAGTTTACATTTAGTAAAGACGTGTAGTCGCATTGACAAATCCCCTGTTGTGTGAAATATTACTTTAATACCAAAAATGTGAAGCTATAGAAATCACAACGGTGCAATCATCTTATTGATGTGAAGTTGTAAATTATGTAGTGAGTTATATCGGTGTATCAAAGTAATAATAACTTTATTTTTATACAGTTTTTACATGTTTCTGATGTTTTAGCAGCTGTTAGTCAACTCACAGGAACGATTGTTCAAACCTCATTATCTCTAAATTATCAACTGAACCGAAGCTGGAAGGAATTTAATAACATTTCCTCTTTGATTCGGAGCAGAAACACAAACTTATCCCTGTTTAAGCTTTTTGACAAGAAGCACTATGTTAGAGTTTAAATTCAAATCGTACATTTTGAATGACAAACTTTGACTTTGGACTGAAAAACGTCCCAGGGTGGAGTAAACGTTTGAAACATCCCATGTGACGAATCAAAGCACTGAGGTGTTTTATTTAGAGATGTGAGGTTTCTACAGAGATGAACGAACAGACGTCATCTGCTCTCGGTGTCGTTAGAATCACTTTGTGCAGTACATGTTGAAGTGCTATTAAAACTTATGTGGCAGTAACTTTACAGACCAAGGACCAAACACGTAGAACTTGCTGCTAAAACCGGGAGCGTCGGGACGGGACGGCTGACGGACAATAAACGAGGATCATTTTGAGGACTCTTGTTTTTTTCTATGTACTAATACATTTTTATTTGTGTATTCACTTGTGACACAATCGAGGGGGTTTGGACGTGTCCGTCCACATGTTCAGCATCTGACCATCATCAACCCACTTTGGACGTGAGTCACTTCAGATAGAATCAGTTCAAACGCTCGAACATCGGAGACGTGTGACGCTGAAACGTGATATTTAGAGCTGACTGAAGTGAAAGTGAGTTGAGCTCAAGTACAAGTACACACAATGCCTCTGTAGTATTGAGTGTGTCCAGCAGGTGGTGGTTGATTTCCTGCTTTTTATGATGGTCGACTGTTGATGGAGATTAAAGGGACCCGAAACATTTTCATTTCAAACAGCTGCTGACACATTATCGAAGAACATGTTCCATTTATTCACTTTTCAGTTTTACAACATTTTGTTTCTCATTGTTGAGTCCAGTAATATTTATTGTTCATAATTTAATGAAGTCATTTAAAACAGTTGCTTTTATCCGGAGAACATCAGGTCAGATGGACAAAGTCAAATGTGCAATTTATCCAGTAAACTTATTATAAAACTGTTTTGTTTCTATTTTCATGTGATCAGAACCGACAGTAATTTCCAGAAGCTCGTTAGAGGAGAAAACGTTCGAGACGCTTCAGCATCGGCTGGTCGAGCTGCAGTTTTTCTCTGTATTTTCCAGTATAAATAAATCCAGTTGTTTTAAATGTTTGAATTAATGCTCCACACAACACGTCTCTGTTGTTATAGCGCTAATGTTTGGTAGCAAGGTAGTTAGCTGGTGCTAGCTAGCTGATCACAAGTGTAAAAGCTCTTTATTTCTCTCCTCATAATTATGATGAAATACTTTTTTATTGAGATTTTATTACTTCAGTAAGTTTTGCATCTGCGCTGGATTTATTACAACATAACACAATACATAAAGTCAGAATACTCGAACTTTATCAAACCACCACATTCAAATAAAAATGTTTGAGTCTCTTTAAACTCCTCCTTCTGGGCATTACAGCTCCGTCAGAGAATTCCTGATGTATGTGTACGAACAGTACGTGTTTTTTTATGTATTACTAATCAAACTGAATGTTGTAATAGTCCGGAACATAAGCCACTGAGTAGTGCTGTGACCTCTATCTACATATATACTGTTAACCTGTAATCTGTACATAAAGACACTGGAGCTCTGACTCTCGTCTGTGACTCACTGGATGTTTGTTTGGGTCGAATAGTTTGAAACTTTGAGGAGAATCCAGAACTTTGGTTGTTTAGGACCCGAATCCAATTATTATGATTTTAACTTTCGTCCTTATTCCATAATTTGGTTTAAATAAAAAATACCAGCAATATTTCATTGGGTTAAAAATTGATCAGCACTGTTCAAAAGTATTTTTCTTATCACCGATAAATCGTAAACATCGTCTCTACGTTCAGACTGAAAGATTTTTTTCTCCTCAGGAGCGTCGGCGTGTTTTGAGCTTGTTGCCGTGTACGGGTCAAACAAAGCTTTCTCAGATGACCTCATACGTCTCGATGGTGAAATTGAGAGTAAAAGTTTGGAGCCGGAGCTTTTGTTCCTAGAAACCACAGAATGTGTCAGAGAGAGAGAGAGTCAGACAGAGAGAGAGAGAGAGAGAGAGAGAGGAGGGAGCAGGAAGGAAGGAAAGAGGTGGGGATGACTAAATGTAACTCGGCCTGAAACAAAAGCAGTTTGGCCTTTAACGTTAACGCTGCACAACAGAAGAGTCAATTTATCAAACTTATCAGTGATGGTTTATTTTAAGAGGGAACAATCTTTTCATGTCGTGATGATTGTTGTAATCTCATTTACACAGCTTGTTATCCGGAGATAATCTGAACTCATTTTCTCTGGAAAACTTTCAACTAGTGTACGAGTGGATTTTACAACTCTCACAGCCAAGTGATGGAGTTTATTCCAACATGAAGTCTTCAAAAGTCATTTGAGAGGATGGAACCAGAGAAGATGAATAAAATGTCAAATACATCGACTCTGTTTGTATTTTAAAGAGAAAAAACAAGAAATCTTAACTTTGGAGTTTTACCAGAACAATCGCTTAAAAAGTTAGAAATCTGTATTTATGATAAAAGTTTCTCAAACGCTTTCTAACTCTGCTGCTGAGCTGTGTCGCAAAGTTAAAACCAAGAACCTCAGATCCTCCAGAAACCAACAGAGGAATTCAAAATGGGTCCAAACTAAATTTTACACCCGATGGATTCGCATCCAAAGAGACGGAGCAAACTTTAAGCTCCACAAAGATCTGGACTCAAGGGAAATGATCAAACACTCTATTTTTAACATGTACCTCTGCTGTCAGAGCTGCTCGCTGAGCCGCCATCGTACCTCAGGCCTATTAATAGCCTCCATCCACAGAGGGGCTGTAGTTGTGCCTCTGCACTGACTCACGGGCTGTTGGCTTGATTGAGGAAGTCCGTTAGTGACTCCCAACCTCGACACTATAGAGTCTGACCGACAGACGGGCAGGAAGAGGGACATGAGACAGGCAGTGAAAAGACAGGAAAGACCGAGTTTGTAGTCTGAGAAGGTCCGAGCCGAGGATGGAGAGGAGACGGAGAAGAGACGACAGACAAAACACACTAAATATCTGGAATTAAGTGAGAACTCGGTTTGAAACAAGGATTTATCTTCTCGCAGAGACGCAGGCGGGAGTTGTTTTCAGGAGCATTTGTTCCACGCTGAACGAAGAGAAAGAAAGAAAAGGATATTTGAATCTCAACTTTCATCTTCAGCCTCAGCCTCAGGATTATGGTGGTGTTCGCTCGGCCTGAGGATCTGAAGGACGATCAAAATGCTGAAATGTAAAGTTGATAGATTTCTCTGCTGCCTGTGTTTCACCTCGCTGCTGCTGCTCCAGGTCAGTTTGACTTTCATACATTTATCATCAGATAACAAACGATTCAAGTTCCAATGCAGCTTTGAGAATAAGTGATCAAAGCTGCTTTTTAGATTTAAAACAGCCATTTTGAATTTCATTAAGGGAAATGTGTTCTGGAAATCTTTATCTTTTTATTCTCTGCTGTTTCTCAGTTATTTTAAAAAGTGAGGACTTGGTCAAAGCTCAAGCCCCAAAATCTAAAGTTTTATTTTAAGCGTTGACAAAGAAAAATGTGAAATTATTTCATTTGAAGAGTTTAATGTGTTGAATTCTTCCAAAAACAAGAATAAGAGTTTTACATGTTTTGGTGGAGTTAGCATGAGGCTAGCAGTTTCCCTCTGCTTCTAGTGTCTGTGTCAAAGCTACACAGGAGCTGAACAGATCTCTGTTTTAGTTTGAATACATTTAAAATTATAATTAGGATCAATATAACTCAGCGTTCACACACTTTTATTCTTCCTCCGTCTGTCAGTGTCTCCTCCGCAGAACTTCATTATCAGTGACAAATTATTTTATGTTCTCTTCTGCTTCCTGGTGTTAAAGTTCCCAGAGCTCCGAGCATCTGTCACCGACTATATTATCTCACGGTACAAGCAGCAGGTCAGAGGTCAAAGCCAAGCGCTGATGAAAACACGTCACAGTTGCAGTTGACTTTAAATAACCGACACATCTTTGACACACAATTCAATTCCTCTCAATAACTTCATCGTCATTGCCCACAGACAAGTATATTATATATATTAATAAGCAGTAAATAAACTTTATATAGCAAGTTTTAAAAACACAGGTTCACAAAGTTTCACAGACGAAACAGAAAATTCATTCAGTGCAAATAAATCCAGTTGTGACGATGGATAAAATAAAACGTCTTGTTCTCACTGTGTTTTAAAGAAGTATTCCAGATGATCAAAACATAAAAACACAGTATCAGTTACATCACACATAGTAACCTAGCACACGATTAAACTGTTATGATGAACTTTGAGTTCTCGAATGGAGCTCAGGTGTAAGTGGAGCACGTTTGTAGTTTAGTGTCGTGGATGTTTCTGCAGCGTGGAGGAGTTTTAACGACCTCAGTGTCTCCAGAATCGTTTTCTAACAATAGGACCAAAGTCTGATCGGCCTCCTGTCGACCCGCAGGTGAAGGAGTGAACAGAAAGAAAAGAGAGACTCGTTCAAACGCTCCCGTCAATCAAAGCTTCTCAATCACAATCTGTTCATCTGCTGTCGTCCATCGTGAGCTCGGAGCGTTTCTGATGTTTGCATCGAAACACGACTCAATCCAACATTTGTACCGTCTGATCATAAAAATCAGGTTTTTACATTTACTGACTCTCCAGTTCTTATCGGTTCTTTTTGACAGAGTAAATTATGTCTGAACATAATATGATGTTTTTTATGAGACACACGTTAGGAAAAAGATTTTTTGTTTGTCCTGAACTTATTTTTGGACATAAATAATAAAAAGAAGTTTGTGAAGGTTGTGTCACAGATCAGGACGCTCGTCATATCTTCATTGTTGAGTTTTGTTGAGGACGTAAAGTTTAATTTCGTTTCTTCATGTTGCTGGTGTCTCGTCAGGATGTGATCAGAGCAGCTCCCACAGACGACCGGCCTCCATGTAGCATCTCTGTATCTGAACCAGCGTCCAGCCTGGACTCCGTATCACTGACCGTCAACACTCCTGGACGGGACTGCTCCTTCGTCCTGACGTCTCCCGACGCCGGAGGAGACCACGGCGAGTGTCGAAGGCTGTCGAGAGGACACGAGGAGCTAGAGACTAACGAGATTGGAGCTGGTGGAGGAGGAGAAGAGGAGGGGGAGGTGGAGGAGTTGGGATCTAACTACCTGGGAACCAATCAGCTCACAGATGGAGGGAATAAGAGCGTAGAAGATGTTTTCACCTGTGTGTTGGATCAGCTGGAGCCTGGGACGGCCTACCAGCTGCAGGTTCGCTCCCAGAGAGACGAGGAGACGGCGAACGTCACGGTGCACACGAGTGAGTCCTGAATCTGTGGTTTACACAAACACGCTGAGCTCAAGCTCCAGACTCTTGTTTCTGAGCTTCAGTCGAGCTGCACGACATCACACTCATTAACACCAGTCCCTCAGACAGATGTTTCTCACAGTGAACTGTGAAATCAACAACGTTGTCAGTTTATCTGAATGAAATGTGCAGCGACTGTCCAACCTGTCCCTCATGGTGGAGACGTTTAAAGACAAACTTCCCGTTCAGTGTTGAGTCCAAATATTCTGTTGTGTTCTATTGTTTCCATCTGACCTCTCGTCTTTGAAGTGAAAGAACACGACATGACCTCCGTGTCGTGTTGAGTGTGTGTGTGTGTGTGTGTGTGTGTGTTAATGTCATGTAGCTTCCCCTCTCTGTAGCTCTGTGATTAGCTACAGGAACCACTGCCCTGCTGAGAGACTGATAGGCCAGTGTAAGTACGTGTGTGTGTGTGTGTGTGTGTGTGTGTGTCTCCACTCTGGCACACGCCCAGAACAGAAGTTGAACCCTCAGTGTGTATTTCCATTGTGGGCAGAGCTCGGGGTTCAGCCATTTCCTGCCTCCATTGTTTCTTTGTTCTGTGGGAAGCACTGGGAAAGGGTGTGTGTGTGTGTGTGTGTGTGTGTGTGTGTGTGTGTGTGCGTGTGTGTGTGTGTGTCTTGTGTGTGAGAGAGACAAAAAGAAGACAAAAGACAGGCAGAGAAAGCCAGATCCCACAAAGACTCAACAATCCGTTTGATGTTGCTTTCCTGACCTTGCGAGGTGTGTGAACACACATCCTGTTCAGAGTTTAGCTACAGCAGCACAAGGAAATGTGCAACTGAAACATACTTTGCTCATGATGGCATTTGACAA